GAAATACGCTTGTTTACTTGGTTTATAAGCCAGTCCCTTCGTACTGCCCACCCGCTACCCAAATCAATTCGAACCCAGAACCCCCACCCCCTAAATAGAAAACTCCCTCAGTTGCCTTGATTAATTCCCGGCCTATAGATAATCTCGTCCATGGTTCGTCCACAAAAAAAAGCTCCATCGGTCATTTGACCGATTCGCTCGAAAATCGCTTAGATCTCAGTTCGTAGGTAGGTAGCTTGGATGGTTGAATCGTTGGTTGGCTGGAAGTTCGTTGGCTGGTTGGTTGGTTGGTTGGTTGGTCGGTTCACTGGTTGGTCGTTGGTTGGCTGGTTGGTTGGTTGGTTGGTTGGTTGGTTGGTTGGTTGGTTGGTTGGTTGGTTGGTTGGTTGGTTGGTTGGCTGGTTGGCTGGTTGGCTGGTTGGTTGGTTGGTTGGTTGGTTGGTTGGTTGGTTGGTTGGTTGGTTGGTTGGTTGGTTGGTTGGTTGGCTGGTTGGTTGGTTGGTTGGTTGGTTGGTTGGTTGGTTGGTTGGTTGGTTGGTTGGTTGGTTGGTTGGCTGGTTGGTTGGTTGGTTGGTTGGTTGGTTGGTTGGTTGGCTGGTTGGTTGGTTGGTTGGTTGGTTGGTTGGTTGGTTGGTTGGTTGGTTGGTTGATGATGAAGATGATGATGATGATGATGATGATGATGATGATGATGATGATGATGATGATGATGATGATGATGATGATGATGATGATGTCAAATATATGACATAATTTTTCCAACCAACATTCATATTGATCATAATGCTCTTGATCTAAATGCAATATATTCACCATACCAATCTCAATGAAAAGATTCGTTTTGAAGCACAGAAAAGTTGTTATTCTTTTTTTACTTCGCCGGGGTTCGGCTCGAATCGTTTATTTGCCAAACATTTCTCTTGTCTGAAATAACAGCCGGGAATCAAACTACAATTGAAAAATCTGGAGTAAGATAGGAGAGAGATGTAAGAGACGAGAAAAGGCGGGAGGAGCAAGCAAAGGAGGAGGGAATAAATAGGAGTAAGAGAGGTTGTAAGAGAAGGAGGGCAATAAACAGGATTGTGAAGAGGACAAAAATAGAAGTCATTCACTGCCTGGCCCACACTCCTTCCTTATATTATTCCTACAAAGCCCACACCCACCGCCTTATCATCGCATTCTGCCTTGGACATGGCCATTTTCTTCAAATCCGCACGGAGTCACAAAATGATGACATTAAAAGATTAAACCTGTTTAAAATAACTTCTAAATGAATGATTTAACAGTAGAACCAAAAAGATTTTTGAAATCAAAGTCAGGAGAGATAAGAAGTCTCTGGATCTGAATGTTCAGTTAGCAAAAATATGTGACATCATCCGTTTTTCCCCTGTAAGCTTAGTCTTCAAACGGTGATACTATAAGTAAAAACTAACACTCTACACAAAATTTTGAGCAGTTCTGCAAGATATTAAAAAAGGATAACATTTTGTTTCACCAAAATAGTGTGTGACCTAATTTGATGGATGCACGTTTAGAATTTGTCACGGACGATATGCTTCAGTGATTATTCATAGGTTTTTGAAAGATGTGCGACAAGATGAGTTATTCAAAATTTCGGAAGAGAAAGACATAGATGGAACGAATCTAAACATTATTTCAAATTTTAACTGCGAGCATTAGAACCAAAACACGGTTGTAATAATAGAAGCAGGGTAAAGTGAACAAAAGAAAGATTAAGAGAGGAGTTAGACAAAATAGGATTTCGGAGCATTTGCTGAAATATGGAAATTAAATCAGCAATGACTGATTCCTAATGAAACGGGATATTTCGCAGAGACAATATTTGGCTTTTCGAAAGTGTATCTCATCAGTTTCTCTAAACTAGTCCACCCGACGGCAAAGAGCCAACAGCCCCCTGAAAAACATCGATCAAAACCACACCAAAAAAATGTAATTTTGATGTTTCAAGGAACTCTCAAGCTTGGGAAATCACCAAGCATTGGCGGGCACTTTTTCGCTAATTTTTGCTGACACCAGGCGACCTTCAATTCTTTCAGTAGACAAAAATCTCGACTCCCATTCAAAATAGACGGGTATTTTCAAATTTTGAAAAAAAGGACAAGTTTCAATATGATACCAAAAACTCCATATGCCAACAACAAAAAAAGTACGCAACAGTATAACGTTTGGTATCCTTGTTTCTGGCGTAAATATAAATTGATGAACACATTTTCTCTGACACGTGCAGACCCAAACCATCAGGACAAAACCTCCGTGGTCCGTGGAACAATTTCCGAAGTTTTCTATGTCTCTCTCGCTGTTAGGTTGGTATTTAGAAAAGGCTGACACAAATTTACCCAAAATTTACGGGGTTAATGCAGTTTTGATCTTCACCATAAAAAGTTCCATTTTGATGGGGCCGCACACGGCAAGTGTATCACGGCGTTTGTGTCACTTTTGCAAGGGTTCGCGCTCGCATGTGTGTGCGTCAGTGATGAAGTGCGCTTCAAGTGGGGTGATTTGCAGTTTGGGAGTTTTGGAAACCCAGGGGGGGTTGCAGGGGGGGATGGGATTGGAAAGTTGTAGGATTAGGGGGGGGGGGGACAGACAAAGTTGAGGGAGAGAGGAGCGAGGATATATTTGTTTGTTATCGGGATGAAACAGGCGTTCGTTAAATCAAAGAAAAAGAAACCAACATTCTCCCTCACGTTGAGTAATATTTATCGATGTTTTTCTAAACTCAACACCTGTTATATCTCTTTAAAAACACATTTCAAGGAGAATATACTGGAAAAACATTGATCAAAACCACACCAAAAACATGTAAATTTAATGTTTCAAGGAACACTCAAGCATTGGAAGTCACCAAACTTTGGCGGCCATTTTCTTGCTAATTTTAGCTGACACCGAGCGACCTTCACTTACTTCAGCAGCAAATATCTCGACTCCTATTCAAAACAGATGGGTATTTTTAAATTTTGAAAAAAGGAAAAGC